ATCCTCGCGATCTGGACCTGCGACAGAGTGGAAAGGGGCCCGAAGTGTCAGTTCAGAATCTCCATCTCCCCGAACTACCCCGCGCCCCTTTTAGCCTGCTCTCAAATAGCCTCTTCAACATCAAGGACATCTCCCAAGTTGCAAAGAAAAAAAAAAAAAAAAACTTTCTCTGAAGCCTCTCAGCACTTACTTATTTAGGAACCAGCTACTCCAACTGTGCTTTTGCCAAACCACACAGGCAAAAGGGACCAAAAAGGGAGGAAAAGAAAAAAAATCAGAGACGCTTTCTCTGAAATAATAACCAAAATGAAGTGGTTTTATATATGCATCAATGATGAGCAGCGTGTTTACACGTCTCCCACAGCAATGTCTAATTAGTCTGGCCGGCCGTTCTCCTGTGTTCGTGGAGCAGGGCTAACCCACTCCTAAAAAGAAGAAAGTTTCCTCCTCCGAAGTCAGCTTCTTTGCAAACTAGGCCGTCTTGTTCCAGATCCACTTGTAGGGAGACCCACATATATATACATAGCTGTCTGTCTACCTCCTCTGGTGGGCTGGTTGCTTCCGGAAAGTTGATTCCACACACCCTGAGAACAAGTTTCAAGTGCGTGTGTCGTCGATCAGGAGGGCCAGGTGGCAGCGAGGGCGGGCTAATAGCGGCGCAGAGGGGCGGCGGCAGCTGGGCTTCACGGGCGGGGAGGCATGCTGGCCGGCGGCGCAGGTTGGAGGCGAGTTGAAAGCCGAGCAGAGGAATGTTCACACGCTCTCAGGCAAACCTGCGGGAGAAGTGAGCGAGTCGCAAAGAGGTGGCGCCCAAGGAACGCGCGCTGGGCGAGCTAGGGCGCGGGCGCGCGGGGGGTGGGGACGGCGACGCGCGGCCGGAGCGAGACCCGCCGGCCCGAGCGAGCAAAGGGGAGCCCGGAGCTGGAAATGCACACAGCAAGCAAAGGCGCTCCCCGCCTCCTGTCCTGCCACCCCCGACGCTGCCCCGAGCTCCGCCGAGCCCCACCCCGAAGCGCCAGCCCTGCCTAGCCATCCTGGAGTCGGGGGCGTGGGCGGATTCGCTCGCCCGGGATGAGTCTAGCCGATCCGCGACTGCCGGGCGGATCTGCCAGCCGAGGTCCCCGAGGGTGTGCGTACTGCCCGGGGCGGCCACGGTCCCCAGCGCGCCGGAGTAGCCTCGGCGGGCCAGGCGCGCAGCTTCCGGGGCTGCCGGGGGCGGACGGGCAAGGAGGAGGCCAAGGAGAAGGGGCCGGACGGCGCGGGCGCTTGGGATCCTCCGCGGGGAGGTCGCGGGCGGTGGGCCCTGGCTTTAAGGAGCCCTCAGCCCTTCTGGGCGTTTGGGGAGCGAAATGGGAACCTTCTTTTCTGGTCTTTTCCTGGGACAAGCTAAGTGGGGAGAATCGGCTAGGAAGGGGGAGATTCTTTGCTTAGAAGAGGAAAAAACGGTTTCAGACTTCAGGTCGAGATTACATTTTTTGCTGTCTCAGAACAGCTGAGGACATCTGGAGCCGGTCCAAGAAAACCCGCGCACATGATGGAGACTCGCTTTCGAATTGCTGAGGGGAACCGACACTACTGGGGAACGCACGCGGCTCTTTCGCCCACCAACGCGCGTCTAACCCACCCTTTCCCGGACAACCTACTCTGTCGCCTCCTCACCCCGTAGTCCCTGGCTACATATTATAGAATGATTGTATCCGTGTCACTTTCGCCCTCAGATGCAGCCAAACTAGCATTCTATGCTGCTTTTGCCTCGGAGAAGTAAAGGGAAAGCAGGGGGTTCTTCCCAAAGCTATTGGGCGGGGAAGAAAGACTGCTCTGAATTACTGGGCAGTGTCATCTAGAAAGGATTGCAGCGGATTTGAACGCCCGCTCAGTGGGCTCCTCTTCTTTCTGAAATGAACGCGGTGGTTGGGAACCATTTAAGGGATGTTTGTCTTCTAGATAGACACTCCTACTGGTAGATTTCATTACTCTGAAAGGTTAGTGTGATGTTGAGATTTCAGATCATTATCAAGCCTGGCTTTCTGGCTGATGCTCCAAGGATTTACCAAGGGTGGGCGAAATAGCGCCCTCTCACCGACCCTCGTTCATCTCGGTTCCCTTTCCCCCTCTTTTAACTGCAGCTAGCCACCAGTTCACGTTTACTGCTTAGTTTGGATTGGGGAGGCGGGTGGGGGTCACCTCATTCTCAGAAGCTGCTATTTCTCTCACTTGATTACTTAAATCTCCATACTTTAAAAAACTTGGCTTCCTCCCACTAAAAAATATCTCTGGGAATTTCCACAATTTCCCTTGAAAGTTTAAGAATTTCTAAATGTTAGATATTTGCATGGCATGAAAAGACAAAGTAACATTACTCAAAAATGTCAACCTTTGAACCTCTAACACTTTCTGATTTATAGTAAATTTTTTCCAAAAAGGCGCAGGAGCCTTAATGTAATTGTTAGATCTGAAGGGAGAAATCTGTAAAAGAGTAAATCACAAATGAGCCATTTAATACTTGCAAGTTGTTTAACATTGAAATGATAATATTTGTTTACACACACACACACACACACACACCCCCAAATGTCCTTAGCTGAGTTTCAAACTACCCAGGCTTTAGAAAGTCAGCCCTCCCCGAATAAAGGTTAAAACAAAAATCAGATTGAAAATATTAAATCACTTATGCTGTTAGCAAATTTATTATACTCCCAGAACATTATAAAGACTGGCATCAATATAGACTGCTTTGATTTATGTTGCTTTTTTGACTAATTAAACAAAATCGACCACCTCAACTCCTTCCCTTCTTTCTCCCCCATCCCCACTTTTCTGGTGTTAATTCCAAAACATCTATCAAATATTTTAAGAATGTCCTCTCCTCCACAAAATGAGAAAATATAGACACAGGAAAAACAAATAGTCTTTATATACTTGGAATGCCAACGTTTCTTCATCATTTATTATTTTATCTTTTCCTTGATTTACAGTTTTCTCCGCTTTTCTAGCCAAAAGAGGGAGATCTTCTCAGCAGTCTCTTCCAGAAGTAATTTTGTTTTGTTCTTTAAAAAGTAAAATAAAGTCTTAGAGGAATTAAAAACTTCCTGTAAGGAGTCTTTTCTGTTCCCACCAAAGGCAATTATTAGAAAGCTAGAAAACAGGTCCCCATTCTAAGCTGTCTTGTTAATTACTTTCAGCAGAATTCTCCTCAATATATACCCAGGACTCGGACTTTTTGCCTTTCTGAAAAGGATATTTTCTGACATAATTTAGTTCCCAGTATAACTGAGTAACCACCATGATAATACTGAGGACATGTGAATGGGAATGAGATGACTTCACACTGGAAGCCCCCCACCCCGCCCCTTTCTTTTTGGTTTAGGAATAGAACAAGTGCCAATAGAAGCTGAATGTTTGCTCAGGCCTTGCTATCACATAAATGCACTTTAGCAAATAGAAGGATTTGAAGGCCTGTCTTTAATCTGAAGTATTCCATATGAAGACAGATTAGAATTGTGAAATCTACACTTATATGAATTCATAGTCCAATTTTAAAAAAGATTTTCTAAAATTTTAAGTGCACCTTTAAAATTCATGTTTAAATACCCAGTTGATGCATATCTCCATGGATCTCCTCTTGGAATTGAGAAAAAAGTTCTAGCATTTATGTTTAGCTTTTTCATCTTTCTCTCTTTTTTTTCTTCATCAGCCAAAACAACAAGAAAATAAGCATACAAACCAAAAAAGTACCTATAGCACTTTAAACAGTGCACCTGGGCTCAGAAATTCCCTTATCTTGTTACCAATATGCATCCAGATTTAACATTTGCCAATCTGTAGCTCCAAGCGATCTCCCAAATAACTAAGTCATCCCTTCTCCCAACTATTTCTTTGTTTATATAAAGAAGTTTGCATAATTAGCTCAAGTAAAGTTAGTGTTTGATTCCATTACAATGTCGTTCAAATCACTTGCTTGGACTGAGACTTGAGAGGAGACTGACCTCAAGGTAGCAAAAAAGAGCTGCCATGCCTTTGAATCCCAGGTAAGGGTAGGCAACGGTGTGTTTCATTATTAAATCTCTGTAGTTAGATGAGGATAAGACTTGAACTGGGGCTGTCTCCTCCAGGAACAGGACTGACTTCTGACATCTGGAGGAACCGCCTTAGGGAGAAGTATCTAGACATGCATCTATCTGTCTCATTGGAAAAGTGGGTCTCATACCAGCCTTAC